ACAATGAGAGAACAATTTTTCCTGCGAGTTAAATGGCTGGTTTTGCTCTGTTTGCACCCTATATCACTCTTGAAACTCTCTTCGTCTTTCGTCTATCATTGAACCTGGATCAGAGAACCTTCCTGCCGGGATCCGTCCTACATACGTCAGATTGGTTCGTGTATCAAACAGGTGCGGAAAGAAACCTTTTTTCATTTCGTTTAGCCCGAAAGTAGCAGATAACTTCGACAAGGCCATGGGCAGGAAATTCATTGAATCTATGCTCCTACGATTATACTGATTTCCTACGATTATACACCATTTCCGCTATGCATAAATTGGGCACGTGAATACCACCATTTTGAGTGCACTCGAAATCAAAAAAATGTACCTCAGTGGATTTTTTGCCTTCTTTTTCCTTTTGCTTTCTTAGGCAGAAGTTTCATTGTCATCCATTACTGCTCTTTTGTGCTCCAAATCAGGGGCATCTCTAGTGACAAAGTCTTCAGCACTCACATTAGTTTGAATGCAAGATGCCGCGCATTCCTTTTTGGTTTGGGGATCTACAACTTTGGTGTATCACCGATGATCAAAAGGCACCATCTCAATACACGTTACACAAAATTTCTTCGTGCATGAATGCTTTCCGCGTTTGGCGGTGAAGGCGGCACTCGTGTACGCATTACAATCTCTATGCCTGAAATATGCCTGACACAGAGTGTTTTTGCCTATCATGTTAGTTTTGTGATTATTAAAACAGACTTCATCTCTAAAGTTCCTGTTACAATTATCGCAGTAGGCCCAGGTATTCGATTCACCAAAGTTGCACCCCACAGAATAAAAAAGCCTCCAAGAATTTTACATACATTATTTGCTTGGCCGTTATTGTATCCTTTGAGGCAAGTGTCGCAGAAATTGCTTCAGCTCAAAAACCCCGACATCGATTTGATAACAACATAATGCCCTCTGGCAAGGTGGAGGTAAATGGTTCTAGGTTTCTCAGGGCCTTTGAGGATACAAGCATAACAGTGCTCCCTTGACAATACCACTAATCGGTAATTATCCAAAACATCTTGGAAACGCTCGATATCCTCAATACCACAGAGCGTTCCTTGCCTCATACCGGACCTGTTATGCAAGTCGGCGACAAGAGGTTCGATGTGATTTGGTCTATTCTTCAAAATGTACGTCAACTCGTTGCCAGTAAGTTCTTGACATGCCTTACCAACGACAATAGCACGTGCAAGACAGGTGCCGCTTCCGTCATCCTTAATTTTTGCTATGCTTTTTTAACTGGCCAAAACCGTTTCAGGAGCCAGGGCGGAGTATTGCTCTTTCCTCCCTTTCTTGATTTCATACGCACAAAGTGGATTGTGACCGTATCGTCGAACCGAATAAACTGGTAACCGTTCAGAACGGTCTCTACACGATTAAAAAGGCGCTCGGCTGTTAACTCGTCCATTGGCATGAACGGCAGGGAAATTCAGCACTGGAGAACTAAACAACCTAACAACGGCAAAGCCTCTTCAAGACTCGCCTCTTCTAAATTCCTGAACTGAATATTATAGTCATAACTGAGCGCTTGGAAATGTTAATGTGCTTTTCTTTAACCTTTTTTATTTCATAATAGTATCTCTGGGTATGTTCACGTACCTCTGTGCTTCTTGCGTGGTGGTTGGTCGTGCCCGCTCCACTCGTCGTCTGCCTCGTCCCACTCGAAGTCCCATTTGTCATTCGCGTTGATTGGTCTCCTGCCTCCCCACTTGTCCAAAGCTGTTCCCCCACTCTGATCCGTCAATGGACTGGTCCCAGATTTCCTCCCTCGCAGGCTCCCAGCAGCTCGTCCCTGACGGATCCACCCATGGTCCACGCCCTCCCCGTGAGACTGTGGGTCGGTTACCTGGCTTATCTGTTCCAGTTCTTCATCACCAATTCACCAATTGAGCGCATGGTTGCTCCCGATCAAAGAGAAGCTCATCGGCCAGACTACCGGGCTGAGTGCCACCTTCGCCGTTATTCTCCAGTTCCCGTATGCGCTGAAAGATAGCATATTTTTGGCTTGGCGTTAACACCCAGTATCGAAGAAAGAATTGACAATCAACCATAGAGAGAGCTAACTTCTTCCAAGTTGAACAACATCGTGATGGTACGTAATAGAGTGCTTCAGCGAATTGTTGAAGATGAGAGCAGCAGTAACAATGACGGTGGATTTAGAGGGTCTGGCTTGATAGACTTCTTTCAGGCGTCTGTTATTTCTTACAATAAGATCTTTGGTATGCAGACGTAGTATAAGCTTCCACAAGCAAGTTAACAGGTTCTCAAGTATGTGGACGCAATTAAACCAACTCAACAAAGGTTAGGCGGCAGGAATGGTTGGAATAATGCGCTTTCTTAATACTCTCTTTGTAATCGCCCTACATTTAAAGCTCGGTGAAAATGCCATCACTCAAAGGGTATTAACAACACAGGGCTTAAGCCAACTGTATGAATGTTACTCCTAATTGTAATCGCCCTACATTCAAAGCACGGTGCTAATGGCCGTCACCCAAAGGGTATAAACAATACACCGCTTAATTAAACTTACTGCATCAATGCCACTCCTAAATTGCCGTTGGTTTAAAGCACGGTGCCAGGAAAGATATAATGCTCACCTTTAGTAGTTCCAGGGTCCACGTGATGTAACATATGAAGGGTAAATTATGGATGGCCTTGCTCTCATTCACCTCGAGGATATGGCAACAAAAATTCGTACGCGCTGTGAGTTATATTACATCGTTGACATGCAATGATAATATTACTATTTGTGGCCCTTCTGTAGAGCTGGCGTTTCCATTGAAGTAATGCATAGTAGCATCTCCATTGTATGTATATATATGTCAGTTTTTGAAGATCCAAGAGCAGTCACTACCATTTCCCAGGATTGACATCCTGATTCTTTTGCAATGCGGTCATGTTCTTTTATAAGATTACCCGCTAGCTGATTCAACTGTAACTCCGATGGCACTGCAGACGAATGATTCAATCGCCGTGGAATACTCTCGATTTTTGCCATCCTGTTTTTTTGGCTGACACGATAGCGATGTATCATTCAACAATTCGATACACACATTACTGCTCACGATTTTCAAGTGATATTTTCATTATTTGAACAAACTGAATGATGTCCTGTTGATGGAATAATCAAATTTTTTCTGAAAGACCCTTTTGATCCAGTAAGCTACAGTGTTCCTTTCGTCTCCCACCTCATACATATGCTGTCTCATCAAGATTTCTACCCTTCCCATTGCTCCTTTCGTCTCCCACCATACATATGCTGTGTCATCAAGACTTCTACCCTTCCCATTGTTCCTTTTGTCTCCCACCTCATATATATGCTGTCTCATCAAGGTTCTTGGCTGACCATGGATATGCTAATTATTCTATTGTGTTTATTCATTTTGCATAGTCCCTGTTGTCTTTTTCTAATTAAGACCCAACGCACTACTTTGGTGATGAGCATGCATGTGATTTTAATTATCACAAAGAGTTCGTAGAAGTACCTCTTCACCTGCAAATAAATAGGATGCCCACAGCACATACAAAGATATTTTAGTTGTATATTTCAACACATATTTTGTCTCACATGCCCATCGAAATAGCCCACACCATCAGCGTGCTCAAATCCATCACTGAAGTCTGCCCAGGTGTCTGTCCCCACCAATGGAGCATTGTACAAACATGCCCCCTGACAGGGAATTCTGTCTCTCTGTGTTATAGGTCAAATGAAATGTTCCTTATCCTGTGATCAACTGTATGCAGAATTGATCCACAAAATTCTGGTTCATCCCGGAACCCACAAAGAACCTTAATGAGTTTACAGATTTTCAGGTGAAGATTATTTAGGCATATACTCCATGCTTTATTAAATGTGTCTACCCCCCCCCAAAAAAAGTAGAAGTAAAACTGTCCATTTTAAACATAAAAAATCAGCTTGCAGTTTTCATGTGGTTTGTGGAGGACACTCTTAGCATGATGATGTTTTACATTTCATCTTATTTGCTTTGGGCAATCCAGAAATATGCCCTGGTAAACATATATAAATATTGAGATGTCTTTGCTAGTGGGCGGGAGGTTTGGTGTTCGAGTCCCCCGGCTGGGCAGCGCTAAACCAAGCCGATGAAGGACATACGGGATAATCCCAATGAAGTTAGCACTGTGGTTTTCATATGTTTAAGCAACTGTTTTACATAAACCAAACATCAGAACCACCAGTTTTTGTCTGGCCTTCTGTGATTTTTCCTTCACAAAAATAGACTTCTTATCTCTTGGACCGGTTCTTGCCACTGCACGTGTGGTGTGTATGGTCTGCAGTATAGGACTAATATTGAAGAAATGACAATGAAACTTCTTTGTTTTTTAGGGGTGTATCTTTAAATCTGTACAACTCGTGCTCATGGAGCACTGATGCACGTGTGACCTCAATGGCGTGTGAATCCAAAACAATGTAGGTCCGTCCATTAATTTTTGGTCATCTGTGATACCAGTTTTAAGTTACTTAAAAGGGGCTATACTGCACCAAATAAGTCGTCGATAGTACAAACAATTCAAAAGAAGCAGAATTTTCTAACACTCTTCCACACAGACACAGACGACAGATTCCTCGCCCACAAAAGTAAACAAAACTCAACGCCCTCTGTGTAATAGTTGTTTCATTCCTAAATCAAAATACACTTTCGATACATGAATTCGAGATTCCGTACTAATATCTGTATTTTTGTGCATTGTCACCACGAGAGTGAAAGGGAGTCGGGAAAATTTAGGTCGTTTGTAACGGTTGCAATCGTTCTTAAATATACTAGTCAAGCGAATTGCTATGCTAATATTTTACGTGTGATAACTGAACGACAAGGGAACATGCTTTTTTTTGATCATTCAAAGGGTGTACAGAATGTATGTTGACAGGGAGGAGTAGGGGCGAGGAGGAGCCTGTTTACGCCTTTCAAAACTGTGAAAAATTGAAAATAAATAAATTGAGAATCAAGTAAAGACAGTGAAACGGTTTCCTTTTTAATTTGCACGCTCTAAGAGGGGAAAGAGCGCAGACAAAAAAAACGCTTTGTAAGCTGTTAAAATTATGAAAAATGGATGAACCAACTTACTTTTAACCAGCCGCGCTATAATGTACAGTGCCTGCATGTTACATATCCTGCCCTCTTTGCCGTGTTTCTCAGATTGCAGGGCGCATCCCGGAACTAACTGGTGAATCCTCAAGTGCGATAACCCCGTCAAGAACATGTCTTATTGTTTCCAAAGCAAACGTAAATACGAACACAACCTCTAAGTGCAAAGTGTAACAGCCTGGGTGTAAAGAATGCAGAGATGTCCACTCATTGCCTCTCTGGACGTTGGCCGCAGAAGTATCATGCAATGTTTAACCCGAACAACTTCCACTAAACACCAACTCGTGTTAAGTAACATTAAAAGTAAAACAGCGCCAATCAATTTCTCACGTTCGCTATTTACCATTACTTTTAGCAAATTTGGTGCAACCTTGATTAGTTTTGGCAAGGGGTATACAAGTAACTTTAACATACCCAAAAGTTAATCTGATAAAGTAACAGTTTCGATGTATAACGCAACATAGGCAGTGAGGAGCGCTTTTCAGTTGCCATCTTGGATGTTTATCATGTAGGTCTCGCGACCTTTGGTGATATCGCGTATATTCCCGGCCAGCTTCCTAGCATCCCAGTGAGAGGTGTAGATGCCCGGTCTGAGATTCCACTCATTCTGCGAGTACACGCCCAGGCTAGAGTAGACGCGGGGCTTGAAAACAATTCGCTCCCTGAGACCCAACCGGCGCAAGGCGGCCTCCACCTTCAGCACGTCCGACTTGTCGGTGAAATCTTTGGTGTACACGCTCACAACGTGCTGCGCACCATACAGATCCTTCCCTTCTTTTGTGTCTGCCACGGGCGTTACCTTGGTGTGCGTGCCTAGCTTGCCTTTCACGGTAGCCCTGGCGATTTTCTCCCACGTGGTGTCAATCTCTTCTGCAGTGTTCACGAAGAGCAGCCAGATACCGCCCAAGCACCTTGCAATTTTGGACAAGTAGTAAGATTTAGTCTCATGGTAAAATGGCCTTATTTTGCCATAACATAAAAAGAGGAAAGAAAAGTAAAGCGAAAATGAGTATACAATCGGCAAACTCATCTTCTTTTCAACAATCACCGAAATGTTTGTCGATTATTATTAACACCTAAGATAAAGGCAAAGAGAAATCGATCAGACTCCATGGCTTCTTTCGATGAGAAATAAATAACCCTCGATCTCGTATTTCTCTATGAGAAATTCCCATGATACAGTCTTTGTACCATAGGCGAAACAAGTCAAATACAAGCCACAGACTCATCTTATATGTTCATCAAAATTTTGTTTTACCAGTTAGATATTGCCATTTCTTTAATAGCATCAAAGTTGATAGTTTTCTTGGAAGCCTTGAGCTTTTCCCAGTCATTCTCTAGATCCTCCAGATTGCCCAATCCTTCTTCCTCATAGGAGGACGACAAGACTCGAATCCAGCCAATTCCATCAGACCTGAAAGTAACACTCACAATGAAGCTTCTGGCGGGAAGGGGGTGCACTAAAGAAGAAGTCTGACCTGATAGAAATTCTTAAACCTTTAGCAGGACAGAATTAGGGATTTGGCCATGTCACACTTAACCAGCTCACTTTCAGCCACGCAATTACGCATCATATCGTAACTTTACTAAAAAAAGGCTGGTTAAAACAACTGAAAATTGGTTTAAAAAATAATCAGCAGATAATAATAATTATGTCCAACCAAACGTGTCTGATTGGACACATATCCACCATTTGTGGTATATTAAACGGTTTATTTTTAAAGAGGACACATACACCTTAGATTTGCACATCTTTACACAACCATGGTGCATCAGCATACAGTTGATGACTAATTATCGATTTCTCGACTCACCACGACGAACCTATGACATTTTGTGAGTACAGTGCTTCCGAATTTTACGAAAAAAATTAGTGGTCTTTGAAGGTTTTAATTGTGCCTTTGTCGTTGCCAGGAGACTGGCGAGACAAAAACATAGGCCTGCTGGAAGGTGCACACTGGGGATTTTTTCACTCTTTTCAAAGAAATATTTTCAGGGTTAGCAGAATATACGTGGATTTGCCTGCCTAAACACATTTTGATGTATTGCGCATCTCTTTGGGTAAAAATGAGTGCAATGAGCCAGGCCAGTATTTCAATACAGTAAGGTCATGCGGGAACAAAGCACATGTGCAAACCTACATGTACGTAGGGCCGCGCTGATGGGGCAGGCTTTGCATGCGCGTCCAAATGACCAGGGACGGGGCTCATTTTGCGCATGCACTTTTGGAATATCACGCTGGCTCATTAAGATCATGCATCTGATTTTGTTCGAGCAAAAGCCTACAAGTCTTCAGTAAACCTACACTAATCCCTAGCGTGGTCTTGTTTGCTGTGGAAAAACATACACTTCTCACCGTTTCACTTTTGAAGGCGCACTTATTTCAAAAAACTTGTCCAGCATTTCGTCCAGCTCACCCTCGGAGTAGTCGGCGGGGTCGAAAAGCAGTCCGTCCTCTGTGCCAGCTTTTTTTGAGTCTACGAACGAGCGTTTGGCACGCCCGCTACCGTGTCGATTGACGGGAAAAAAGTACACGTAGGAATTAGACCTTGCACAAAAAGGGACCTATTCCCTTGGAACTCGGACAAAGTAGCACAGGACGAAACTGTTTATGAATAAGATTTGAATACGATGGGCTACGAGAGGGTCAAGCCCTCGTCATGTGATTATCAGGAGGGGCAAATGATCCAAATTAAATATTACGAAAAGTTTAATTCACTGGAGAATTCAAAATACGAACAAGTGTTAGACACAATAAAGAAATAAGGAAACACAATAAAAACCTAGCATGCAAATTTTTTTTAAATCTTGAAATCTTCCCCGGGGGGCGGGGAGAAAATGCTTGCAGGAATGCAAATTAGTTTACTGTCCACTCAAACGTGCTACTCACAAGTAGATAAAAATGGGTTTACCTGAAGCCAACTTTTAAGTTCGAATTCGTGTTATTTTGGTTAACTCACAGTTTCAGTGTCGACAGATTTCCGACGAGAGACTCTATGGGGTCTTCTTCCTCAGATTTACTGGATCTTGCGGACCGCCTTGGTTTCTTGTCCATCGTGATGTACCCGAATAGGTGTATGAAGTACGCCCTCTGCTGATGAATGTGTAAAATCTGGCGTCAGATACATTTCAAATGCCTGTGAAATGTTGGCTTGCCGCTCTGTGGCAAGCCAACTGCAAACCTTGCAAGCCAATATTAGCAGCATCTTTTTCTTCACGTCCAAATATTATCTTCTTGCAGCATTTTTTCTTTGTATGCGTGAGAGTGCATGCTCATCTAAAACACACTCAGGCTAGAAAGTATAATTATTGTCGATTTTAATGTGTTACAGTCTGGGTTGGCAAAAACTTTCTGTTCGATTCAAGTCATTTGGTTATGGATTTTAAGGATTTGTAATTATGATTTTGGTTTCATTTGAATTAAAGTGTCCACTTTTGAGTAGAGTATAAGTGAAAATCTACCTTTTTTCTCAATAAGTTCAAATGTATTTTACTGCGATTAGAAAAAAACAAAACCATTAATTGAATGTTCTTCAGTAAATTCCTAGGGGAATTTTATAATCAAGCCAGAGTCACAACTCATTTAATCACAGTGGAGCTGGATCACAAGCTATTTAACGCCACCGCATTTACAAACGTTACAACACAGTAACAAATACGAGTTTTTCCACATTTAAACATTTAAGTAGCACACAAGGCACTTTTGCATGTGGTTGGTGACGTTTTGTCACTCACAGGTCCTTCTGTTGAGTTCCTAGTTTATACATTCCTGTAAATTCTAGTTTCGACAAAACGTTGAGCCCTGCTTTAAAATCTAGTACCTTTGGTGCCAGTATCCCTGAAGAAACTGTCAACTCTGAAAGTCATGTAAGCTACATGCATGTACATTAGGCACTAAAATGTATGTAGTTGGCATGGGCTTAGTCAGCGGCGTAGCGAGCGGGGGGTATTGGGGTACTGACCTCCCCCCAATCATTCTTTTCAGTCAGCAAATAAAGGGTCAGTCGGCGAATGAAACTGAAATTGACATCATGACTTATTGATGTACATCGGCCACCAGCGTTTCCCCTAAAGAGATGCTGCCTGTAGGTGTGCCGCGCTTACAAAATATCTAGCACTCAGGGTTTTATCTCGGATTTCCCGAAAGTCTGCCCGTCCTGATCAGGCTCCTGTGTCCCGATGTGTATTTAATAGGCGATTTTCAAGTCCCGCGCATACGAACATCACGTGCGTACATGTATTTTGGTGCTGTCCTTGAAGTAGGTCAACTTCAAAAAGAAACGGGAACCAGTTGCACAATTTGGCAATCCCCGCGATTGGAACTGTGCCTGAGGGCGTGCGCGGGTTAATAAGCGAACCTGGATGGGGCCCGTCCGTATCTAGATATAGGTGGGAAATTGTTTCGTTCGCGCAGTTTACAGGGTAATATAATGCTTTATTCTAAACAAAAATGCATCCTTATCGCTGAGTCGTCTCAAGTATGTTTTAATGATCATTGTGTTTTTTTTTTTTGGGGGGGGGGGGCTGATGCCCGGCCAAAGCTAGAGGGGAGAACGAGTCCACCGTTCAATCTTTCTTAATTACAGACTTGTGCATCAAGTTCTCCCACTATATCTTTCGGCTTCCAAAGGCTGGTGCAAACTTTCCTGAATTTCGCTGATTATTCCAAACAGGGCCACTCAACATATTGCAGGACCGTTGTCATGCAATTATTACGATATCACTTTCTTGCTCCTCCCGTCGGCCGACTCCGGCCTTGTCCTTTAAAACTTTGCAAAATTGTAAGGTTGCCAAGAAAATCGAGTCTACTAAAGAAACGATCGACGGGTTAAAACTGTGAACCCGTAATTTTGATTCTATTTTTCTTCTCCGTTTCACCATTTCTAAAAAAAGAAATTTTCCAAGTGCCAATAGTTTGAGATGGCAAACGCTTGTTAATCTCACAAAGTGGAAGAAGCGCCTTGCGCAAAGTAATGAGTTGCCAAGGTCGTACATGCCACGTGCTTTGTAGTAACCTCCCGTGCGATGCATCGGTGCCATGGGACTCTGGCAATGTGCACGTAAAAACCGCTTGCTACACGCATACAATGTAGTCGCAGGGCTCGCAAATTGGGCTAACCATCACAGGAGCCAGCTAAATTTGTCAGTTTACGGGAGCAAGTAGCTCCCATACGCCATATATGTTCTCTCCGTCTCATGCCTTGCTGCATATGCCAGTGTCAGCGAAAACGTACTAACCTTACGTCACGCTGTAAATTCACTGTGAAATGTGTGCTTCCCGAGTTGTAGTGGAGATTGCTAATCACAATACTTCCATTCACGCAGAAACGGCTGTAATGAGTCCCACTGACACGATGAGAATATTGACGTTTCACTGGCAGCAAATCTCAACACAATGAGTACCGAATGGCCCCAAGATACTGTTTACGTAACACAGTACAGGTATATGTACAATGTACAGCTGATATTCAGTCGCGTGCATTACCGGGTTTTAGCACCATTCGGTGTCCTTGCCGCGTGTGGCATGCAAAATGCGCCGGGAGTGCATGCGCATGCGAGCCTGCTGCGCTCGGTGACATCGCAAAAACTTCTGCTCACGTTGTGGTTCCATGATATGGGTGATCTGAAGTAAAAAAAAAATCAGGTTTTATATGGCAAGAATACAAACACACGGGCTTTATTGCTTGCGCTTTTCTTTGTAATTTAGGGGCACAACGGGTGCTTTTTAGCTACCTGCGCACGCTAATTTATAGCCCTGAGTTGTTGATTCTGGAACAATTTACATTGTACACAGAAGTGGCACATAACATTTTTTAACTGTTTTCAGGTATTAAGTCAATCATGCTATTATCTGACTCAGCGAAAACGTGAAATGATGAATGTACTTTGTTTTTGTTAAAAACTTTTGCAAATTCAACAACTGGGGATATCCGTAAAATTGTAAAATTGAGGCACGCGGTAAGCAACTCAAAACACCCCCTCCATATTTCACTGATTTAAAGCATTATGGTGTTAAAGTGGCGAGCGAGTCACAAATCATTAAATTGACCCTGTCCCCCGAGAAAATTCCTTCGCTACGCCGCTGGTATGAAGGTATTTATTAATTGCTAATAATGTGATCATAATCAATTTTCTTGATTCGAATGTCTTAATTTTAAATCCCGATTTGTTTATTTTTCCAACAAAAGATATAACTAGAAAAAGAAACTCAACACACATTGCTTGCTTTGGAATAATGATACCGATGCCTCAAATTTAATAATCTGATTTTAGTTACAGGATTTACCCTGACACCGACGTATATTCATAAACACTGTGTACTCAGTGCTTATCACTTATTTACAAGCTCGCTCGGGTGGGACTCGAACCCACGACCTCCTGCTTACTAGTGCAGCTACCCTACGCGAACAACTCGATTTGCGGGCAGTTGGCCCAGTCAGATGTACCTGTAGCAACGGGTACGGCGAACCTTTCAATTTTTACGTGTAAAACCTGTAGGCCCAATCAATATTAACATCTCCCGACACTAAGTAGATCTTGAAATAATCTGATTAAAAATTTTTTTAAATCTGATTTTTTTTCTCTTACCTTTTAAAATTTCAAAACAAATAAAAAGCAACCCTGGGCACGCACAAAGGGAAATGAAAACACCAAAGCACCAAAAATTAAAAACGTAGTCATTTGTGAACTCAACAGGACTCAATCCAGCACGATTCTTTTCCAGTGGGACTGGGAGCCTCAGGCCAGTTGGATTCTTTTAAGTGCCCGATCGTTGCTGGAACTTAAGCTATGGCTGACGCATTGGCAAGGCATTTGATTCATGTACGTAGTAGGACAACATCTTTTTTTATCATTTCGTCAAGTTGCTTTTTCAATGTTGTGTATTTTTTGTGTGTAGGTGAGTAGACCCCCTAGATACGCGCCTAAGACGGTAACATGATTAAAATGACAAAAATCCATTCTAGTGGATAATACGTGCATTGAAATTTGAAAGGACTAGGCCTATATCGTCAGTTTCAATATCTGGATATCAATATCTAACTTACCTTTTAGAGGATAGGGTTGAGTCTTGACAGTCTGACTCTCAGAGATGGTGCCCTTTGGATTCTGGCTTCAGCAACATTCAGCCCAGTCAATGCCCCCATTTACTGCTATATCTGCTTATGTTAATTGCATGTGCAATCCGCGCAATTGCGAAATCTGGCGTTTCGTGGCACGGGAAATTCCCGTGACTATTTATAGGCGTTAAACACGCAGTACGGAGGCCTTAATGGATCGCGTAGATTACTTGATTGTTATTATTGCAATAGACCGAACTGAGAAAACCCATTAAATAGTTTCAGCGATATGATGTTTAGAGAAGGAGAGACAAAAGCCTGGATGAAATTTGATATTCGATCATTTCTGTCAGTATTGTTTTAAGAAGTGAAAATTTGAAAACCGTCGTGAACAGTTCTCATTTTTAAGATTTACTCCATCGAGACTAGGCCCTACATGAAATTTAATTTTGCATTGAAAAATAAGCTACGATCCATGATTATGCACAAGGATGTTTTGAAATTTGGATCGATTAGCAAGCCAATATCAGTGTTCACCCGAAGGACAGAGCAATCATACCAATGACGTATAAAAATGATGCATATACAGGCCTAACTGATTGTCCCGGTAAGATGTACATTATTTTATTCAGTTTCGCTAACCAAATCAGAGTTTTGATCAGACTCGAGCCGGCAAGCTGGCGTTCGAAGGCTCAATGGTCGGATGCGGTTGACCTTTAATAGGTTGTATTCCTACCCGGACAGAAGGTCTTTGGTGGATCAAACCCAAAGCCATGCATTAACCTAGATGTTTGTTACTTTTAAGTAACGTCTATTTTAAAACTACTATTTATGCACGATATGGGCGCTAGATTAAGTAGGCCTGTAACTAACAGTAAGTGGGCTTATGGCTGCTTCAAGCCTAAATTTGTTGAAAGTGTGTTACAAAACTCTAAATATTAAGCTGTAAATAGGGGTAAAGAATATACGACGTTCCCCTTTTATCAAATACTAGATATTAGTCTTTTATCATAAATTTCAATGCAGTTGAAAACTAAAATAATTTCAAATAGCAAACTAAACTGTTCCTTACATACTATATATAGCATTGAAAAATGTAAAATATAAAAAATTGCAGTAACTTCAGATGCGCTCTACAATATTGATGGGCATGTATTCCCGATTTGAAAAGACACTGAAAATACTTGGTTGTCTTAAGAAAGCATCTTTACCTTTCATACGTCAAACAGAGTAGAACTCTTTTCCCTCTGAGGTTTACAATAATTCTCAATTGATTACTTGCTGCGTCAATTTATTTTTGGGTTATGTGAGAAAATAAGTCACCCCAACTGAAAAGCAGGCTTTTGTAAAGCATGTATACACTACGATCAATAAAGTCACCACTATAGTACAAACAATATAAAACACAACCAGAATTAGTCATATTTATTTCAACAAAACCAGACATCGGGTTCCTTACATGTTAACACAGATAACCAAAAACAAATTAAAGCCCCTGTGTAAATTAGGTTGACCACGCCCCTCAGTTGAGAATTACACTTCAGCGTCTGAACTGGACAACGCTGCCTGTTGTTAGACCATCAAGCTACTATTTCCCCTGCGTCAGGAGAGTACATGACATTCTAACCGTAAAATATACACTTCGGTGGCATTTCTCCAGTATGTTCCATGCTCAGGCTGTGTCTAAATGTCTGAGGGCGGGTCCAGATCTATACATTTAGGGAAGGGGGTGGGTGGAGGGTGAGTTTGGAAAATTTATCCATGTGACCTTTTGTGGCCTTCTAAGGGGTGAAGCTTAGTTTGTGTTTTTTACATGCTTATTAAGGAAGCAAGTCCAATGTGTGTTTTTTACATGCTTATTAAGGAAGCAAGTCCAATGAAATAGTCCCACAAGTTGCCTTTTCTGAAACGTTTCTCTTTCTCTCTCGTTTGGTCAAGGGTGCCCTATTCACACCTCCCCCCGTAAAAAAATAATAGAAATAATTACACTAAGGTGTTACGGTCTATACATCTTCCATTCCAAAAATGTTGCAATACACGGTAAAAAAAATTTTTTAAAGCACAATTTTTTTGAACTTCCACATGTGGTCCACCAAAAGTTTGGTTCTGGAGCTGCCTTTGAGTAATAGGCTATGTACGAATCATTTGGCTAGGGCTTGAAATTACGCACGATTCCATAGGGTAGTGGCTGCACGCACAGTCGTAGACTCGTGTGCAAGTTCAAACGGCAAGCAAGTAATTAGGACACGGACCTTCAATGGCTTCAATTACCAAACAGGTTTCCTACTGACGCTGCCACAACTTTGGCAACAATGTTAGGTTCTCAGGCCTCCCTAAACAAATAACCAATCGTTCCAGCGACTTCGTTGTGAACCTTCGCTATTGTATCGCGCCACCAGCTGCGCAGCATCTGTTCTGCCCAGATCCACGAAGATGACGTCTTGGAACAAGTGCCCTCGCGCCGGTAGTACGAAGTTCTCTATACAATAGAAAAGGTTTGTATACGAGTTCAGTTGTAATACTAAGATCAACTTGCTTGCACTCTAATACCACTTATCCTGGCTCTGTCTACATGCATGTCTTACTTTTCATTTTCAGTATATCGCTTTCCGGCTCGGACTTGTTTTCCTCCATCCTGCGTTTCTCAATTCGCCTACGATACTCGTCATCGGTTGGTACCACCACTACAGCTTTGCGGCTGAAACCGTTGAATGGACGCATTTTCCGTTCTCGGGCAGTCTGATATACATTGGTCTTGTGCAAAACAATCAAAGAGAACGGAACAAATCTGTTAGAGACTCAAATCGATGCAGCAACGCTCACAGCCACGTTAATTCTTTAATGGATGCAGCTATGCCTTAATATTAAAGGAAACCTCGTCCGGTATCGTGTAACCAGGGGTACGGGTGTGATCAGTTCTAACAGTACAACCCCAAATATAAATGGGACGAGCACAAAATGGACGAACGTCGACTGAGTTCCTGATTTCGCATTGCTGTTCAACTCAAAATAATAAGGAAAAATGATCATTTTCACGAACGACTTTTGGGACAGAAAGTGCATTGTTATTTTCCTCTCTTTAAACAGGTTAAATAAGGGTAGATATTCATCTTCCGAATGCTTTCAAAGAAGATACAGCGCAAGGTTTTTTCCTGGGATTTTTTTTTTTTTTTTTTTTGGCGGAGGGAAAAAATATTGGGTTCCTTTTGGAATTCCTGAAACGCTTTGAATACCATGGCAAGATGTAATCGATAAACTTCGATAAACAAGCACTTCTACAAAAAGGAAGCTTAATAGCTCTACCTGGTCGAGGATATAGTTTCGTTTCCGAGTCGGGGCTATTTCAAAGAAACGATGCAAGCAATCATTTGCTTTCTGGAATAACTTTTCCCAACGCTCGTTGTAGTTCCGCTCACGGCGAAGACCCATTACCTGCATGATGTGATAGCAGGAGAGACGAATCGGTCAAGCTTCGTTTGGGTGCTAAGACGGATTCCCTATTTAAAAGGCTAGCATGCAGGGGTATCCATGATACAGTTTTTCAAGATTTGTCTCTTAATTTCCAAGTTTTAAAATGCCTTCCAAATTAGGTATGTAAATAATAGTGATGCAGTCGTCTTTTGGTCTGGGAAAATACTGCAGGACGTTGCTAAAATATTTCTCGAATGTACCGAATTATATTTAATACACTCTAAAACAGACTGGTCAAAGCAACCAAAAATTATTCAAAACAGCCAACAATTCTTATGTATCCAACCAAACGCGTTTGTTTTGACCCCATCAGATCTACCAATTGAGTTATATTATCCAATTTGTTTTAAGAGTACTTGTAGAAGCACTTATTCGGTATTCACTATTCACTATTTCCATCAGATGTCACCACCTTTTCTGTATATAGATTAATTCAAAGTCACACTTGTCCATATGCAATCTGGGACACAAAGTGCTATGGCTCCCAGAGCCTTTGACTGCTGAGAATGTAGGCCTTTGCAGGCATTGTATTTTTCCAGAATCTTGAAGAGTAATCTTCACAACCTTCATCTTGTCCATGATGATATTTGTCCCCAAGATGTAGTATCTCTTCTCCGGGTGTTCTTTGCAGTGTTTCTCTACCCATGCGCTCTTACCAGCGCCAGGCAGTCCTACCATCATTAGAATCTAATTCGAAAAAATGCATAAAGTGACAACAGTGTACCACTGGAAATGTAGCCCCAAAACAAAAAACACAACACTGTGTTGAATGAGAGAGAGCGCTTTAATTGGCATCGGTGTCCCTCGTTTGACTCTGTGATTAGACACAGGTATGGAAGGACTGCAAATGCCAGAACAGGTTGCAGACTATGCATTGCCATAGCGCATAGACACCAGTGATGAATACCCCCACTTCCAAAAATCAGGAGAAAAACAAGTCTCTCAGATACTCAAAACACGTACCAAGTTAAATCTCACTTCTTCATCTTTCATTTTACTTTAATATGCAGTGAATTAACCGATTACCTATGAAGATATTTCTCTCCAATCGTCAAAGTCATGAGGCCCATCACCATTTTTAAAATTAATACCTACACTCCATTACAAATTTGAGCGAATTGGAGGGCCCCGTTTTGTCCGATACTTTCACAAATATAAGCTGGTAGTCCTGCTGGTGGATTCTATCTCCTTGTTTTACAAACCCTCCACTCCACGCACGCTCCACGAAATGGTCTAAAAGCAGAGAATTTGACAGCCAACAAATCGCGATACGGTCCATGCTACGGTCCACACAGGCAATCTTGCACCTATTTACTGGCTTACAACCAGAAGCGTAAATAAGGAATGTGCGTAAACAGCGATTTGCACGTAGACTGCGCGAACGCATGACTCAGTCTAGGTTCACAAAACTGTTACAACTCCATGCAAGGCCGTTTGAAGTTTATTCTTCGTGTGGCGGATGTAAAAATTTACCTTTTTTATTCTTTAAACAGGGACTGTTCAATCACTACACTGTATATTGTATCCGTTACGCAATCACCGGTCTAGCGCCACCACCGGCGTCACTCATTAATTCATTCACCGCAGAGACGGTAACATGTTTGTTCATCTCTCTGCTTCTCAGGTGATTAAACAAGAAGATCGATCCTTGCAGCCAACTTCTCCTATTGCTATACTTGATTTTTTTTTAAACGTCCGACTGTCACATTCGTTTGAATCCGAATCGGGATTAGAATGTCAAAAACGACAGAAAAAGATTTTTAAAGGACGCTATTCATCTCGTTCTTCGTAATGACATTGGCTGAAATAGCCTTCAATAGCCTACGTCACATTCAGCTTTGGTGGCAGGAGCGAGGGGTTCACGGACTCGATCGCCAACAGGAAGAGAACCAAAAAGGGTGTAGCCCTCAGGAACTGGGAAGTAAGGCTGCGCCTGAAAGTTAAATAACACACAATTTGAGACAAAGTGGTGTGGACATTTTTGGTCAACTGAAATGGTTTAATACTCCCGAAAAAGACGGAGAACCTTCCAACTTTCAGTCCTAAAGATTTGCAATAACTCGGTAGCTCACGATGGGAACTCACGTAAAATTAAGGGTTACGAACAAAGATCAAGGACAGAATTCTACATTGAACGACACATGGAAGTTGTACAAAATAATTCTCAAACTATGGCATGAGATTGTTGTTCGTCAGGAAGGGCCTCTTATAATAGCAACAGCTCAGAGATACCGCGTATTTTTGAAGAAATGATCACTAGTGGGCAAGTGCCAAAATATAAAATATAATAGTTCTTGGTATGGCTCAATGCAGTATGGCCTTCTCACGTTCATAGAAGCCGAACTGTATAGCTAAACACGCCCCAAGGAACTATGCTCCCTCGCTCAATTTTCTAACATATTTGCTCATGCTGTTTGATAATTTTCATTACCAAAACAAATGATTGTGGAGTACATATAGGAAAGCCAAAATTTCAAAAATAAGGAGGTGAGAAAGACGTCACTGGAAGTATCAACAAATATACATTTGGGAGGGGTTTAGTCTTGGGCAAGCGAAAAGACGGTAGTTGTAACAAAGAAGAAAAGAATTGTACGCAGTGCAACAAAACCAAAAATGGTAGTCGTGCTTTGTCATGAACAACACGCATTAAAAAGCAAATTTTAAATCTTCAATATGGATTTCCAACTTAGTAATCTCATTTTCTCATGAATATCCCAAGAGTGGAATTTGGAAATCTCTATAAGTATAGGTTTGAACAGTTATCTTACTCTGTGGCCGAAGTTGACAGATACAGCTGTGTTCTTTAAGAGCAAGTGCGGAAACAGTGCTTTCCCTCTAAGAATGTTAGTTGATGTGAACGCCAGCCCGATATAGTGTCCATTCTTCCAATAGGAGAGCACCGGCTTTCCAGAACTGTAGTCCTGTAGAAATGAGTACAATACAGAGATTACAAGCCAGGTGTAAGGCTTTCATAGCCAACTGGCTGGTACGATTGGCTGGCGGCAGTTACATGTCGACAGCGTGTTGGAAACACCCAGGGAAACAAGCACCCAAATAAGTCAAAGACAAAAGTTGTAACTTCTCAAGAATTCTCGTTAGCTGGGCCATTAGTGTCGAATCTCTTAGGAGAAGGGGGAGCAAGCCCCCAGGATGTATATTGCTTTTTTGAGGAATTGAAAGCGGTACTAGCTTTGGCGGCTAGGGGTTCTTAGTCCTATACAGATTTTAAAAATGCAAACATCAAAAAGTCCTTATTCCCCCCCTCCCGAAAAAAAACTTACCCCTCGCATACAGAGGAGACTCGCCACCCGTTTCGATTGCGTTTTAAGAATTAGTTACATTGTATTTATAATCTACACTTTATGGAATTAACTCTTTAGCTTTGTAAAGTAAATTTCCAACAAGTGTACTTCTTTAATGGGCTTATGATGACTTTCTGAGTTTATTTCAGTAATATCTGTAAAATATGACCAGTCTTTCAACAAAAAACATACATAGTTATGAAGGCTTATGCCAAAGTGACGATGGAAGACAAAATGATGTCTTAGACTAATAATAATACCAGACACGCTGTGATCACATCTCCTGCTCCGAATGTCAAACCGTAGTCTCGGAACTGTCCCCTGGTGGAGAACTTCGCTGTGCCGCCGTAGCCGTAAGAGAAGTCTTCCTCGCCTTCAGTAGAGAGAGAAAAGGGCACGCCTTTGTTCCAAAGTCTTAAGTTGGGGCTTCTCTCAATACACACAGCTCTGAGTATGAGCAGGGCTATTTGGGGAGAGAGCAACGCCAACTTCGGCCTTTGGACGCTTACTCCTCTATTTTGGTTTAAACACTCGATACACTCACGTCGCAGCTCTCTCTACAAACAGCTCTGGGTATGAACAGAGCTATAGACCTTTTCCGGTGGTGTCACGATCATAATAATATAGTATGATGCATTGTGATGGTAATGAGTGCAAAGTGTTGTGATGGTAATCTATCTATTCAAGAAAAACTAGTCAAGCATGCAGTGTTCGCAGGTGCACTTGCTCGTGGTTGAAGCTGCCTGTAGGAAATTATATTCGATCACCGTGGCCAAGGCGGTCCGCACGTTGTGGTAGTGTTTATATTTAGTCACGTGGGTGAAAAGGGTGTAGAGTGTACACGGACAAAACAGCGCCAACTTCAGACTTTGCTAATTGACCATGTGCACTGTCGCATAATCCAACTTTTTAGTTCCAGCAATTGAAACTCTCGTGTGGTAATTCTCTCTATAAACAGCTCTACGGGTATGTACATGTACCACGCGCAGTAGACTCATAAAAGCAGTTCCTGCCACTTCTGGCGTCTTGTTTAGAATTAATTACTTACCCAGTTGCAGTGAGGCACTGTCAGCTGACCAACCAATGCGAACTACATGTGGATTAGGTTCATCTGGAGGAAGATGTCTGACGTTAAGATGTTTTTCCAGCTGAAAAGACATGCAGACACTGAGCAATAGAGAACGTACTTTGATGCATGTCAACCAATAGCTATAGTATTGGGAATTGTTTCCTTTTGGAGGGGTGCTCAGAAGAGACTGGTATAAGCTATGGCTGCCATCACAGTTAGTAAAAGCAAAAGAATAATAGCTGAAGCATAATTATCATACCTACTAAATAATATACAACCCTCTTTAGAGGTAAAGGAGCAAATGCACATTTTGCCGCAAATTCGAACCAAACATGATAATTTCTGCAAAAATTAAGCCGCCTATTCGAAAAGTTGGTACTGGCCGATATGTTGACTCAACTAAGCTTTGTGTTGACTGGGGAATTTTCATCGACTCTGTAAGTTCCTGGTACAAAATATGCGAATGAAAGCATACGATCCCAGAAACTATTCTGCTTACAAGTTACATACCAAAGCCCTGCGGCAGCTTATGGAAATTGACTAAACAGGTAAAGTCTAAGAATGTTTCGTGGGGTTCGATGTAACCTAAATAAAATTTTCAACAATTAAGGACCTTTGCAGAGCTCTATACGATTTACTCTTAATAGTACTGAGACATATTTAGGCTTTAAACTCCCGTTTCTTGGGTTGATTACTGCTCCTTGATTATGCATATATCAACCTTGACTTCGAAGCACACTTTTCCTTTGCCCACACCATACGTGGCTTTGACTCCGCCCCACAGGTAGGCAAAACCTTCGGAGGTCTGAGGCTCAGCTGATAATCCTCCTCCGGTGATAGTCACATTCAAGTCAGAAATATCTAAAAGTTAATTGAGTGCAACGGTGAAACAGTATGATTATACACATACTTAATAGGCCTTGTCAACATAGAGTTCGGTTGCACAAAATTATAGTGTAAACTTGTTTTACAGTTGTGTGTGGCGAAAAATTATGCATGGCCGTATATACTGCACAGAACCATGGAGCTATTAAACACAAGGAGTTTGAACAAAGTCCCTACAGACCGTAATCCGATTAACTGCTCCCGTCAGCTCCATAGACAAAGCGCGGTTTCCTGTCCCAGTGTTGAAGACCCCAGACATTCTTTGTACACAATGATGGCCGCCGCCGGATAGCTGGTAGCTCAAAGACTTGCTGTGTATCACTGTAGAATACTGGGGTAAATAAATGGTGAAAAAGATTCCCGACGAAAATGCGTAGTCCTCTTCAGTAATCCTCAGGAGTCAGTGAGTGAACTCTGTAGATGCGCTCGAAAATTCTGAATCGGCGGTGGTTATTTGGCAAAAAGTCGGACGTTTTTAAAGTCAGTTATGCCATTTTGTGGTTCCGGCTGTAGAGAACAAATACCCAGAATATGAACTGCGATATTTATATCTTAAGTCGCAATCCTAGTGTTTCCTACGGTTAAAAGAAGGTGGAAACATGCCACAAGAATGCTTTTGACAATGTGGTGGGTTTCATGCCGAGACAGTTGTGGACAATGACAGAAAGGACAACGAATCTTCCCATGTTTTTGTGTGTTTCTTTATTTTCCTTTGGACCAGCTACATTCTGTCAGTTTTCTTGTGCGTATTTTTGGGGAAATTGTTTTAGTTAGTAATTCTGTTTATTGTTAGGAGAGACGTTTTGGGGGTGTAAAGACTTAACCAGACATTGTCAATGGAATATCAGAACAATCGCTACAATTATTGAAATTTAAGTCTCTGATGACAGTGGTCTCCGTCTCGAGGCGGCCATGTTGTACATGTGGACGTGTTACGGACACGCTGCGCGGTACCCACGATCCTTTGCAAATGCAACTTCGAGCATTCCTTACAGCCCGCAAGTGGCGCGTAATTTGTTTTGTCTTGCAGCACGTGCAGTGCTTGCAGTGACCATCATTGACCCTTTGATCTCTGTATGTGCTTACTCCTTGTGTATAATAGCTCCATGACAGAACAAAGTACGGATGTGGGATGTCTTTAAGGAGTAAGACTTAACTTCGCATTTTAAATTTCACATTTTAATGTAACAATGTTTCTAAATTTTGAAGGAATGTGCCTTTGTTGCAAATTATAAAATGACCCATTCTTAAAACAAGTTTTATTTTGTGCAAAGATTGTAAACATTAGTCGGAACTTACACGTGCTGAGCACACACGCTGAGTCAACAGCCATCCTCGGAGCAAGATATCTGGAGCCAGAAAGTCATAAGAGTCACACTTGACGGATGAGAAATGGGTAATCGAGACAATTTTAGTCTATTTCACAGATGTTCAACATCAGTGCATGTGTCATATGCCAAGTGTGTGTACTGCGCGAGTTCGAAATGTAAATGTGCGGACAAATATCCCCTCCGGTTATTCGTGGAGAAGCAATTATTCATCAGTTGCTGAAATCTATCCATTTTCCCTGCCCTTCTGAAAAAGGGAGGAAAAGGGGAAAATACACAAATAGCTGCTTGGCTACAGTCGATGACAGTGCAATACAGGAGAACATGAAATCCCCATACAAGATAGAAATGCAGGAGAAAGAACAGCATTAGGCCTACTCGTCCCATTTTTCATAAAAGTAAAGCTGGAACAATATTTCTGCAACTTTACATTCTCCTTCCATGCTTCAAACTATGTGACATCGTTATTAGGATGAATGTACCGAAAAAAACCACTCTTTAAACATTTAAAAAGTGGCATGCTTTTCTGAACAAGTGAGGGCATGCTTTTCTGAACAAGTGAGGGCGTTGTTACTGTCATCTAGGAAAGGCATGTTTTAGTACATAGGTTTTTCTCTACAAACTGTTAGCCGGGAAATTACTCATTTGAAATATTCCGAGAAAGGGTTGTTTGCTTGCTTGCTTAATTCTGCGTACTTGAAGGGTATACTATTAATTTTTCTCAGACACAACTAATTTTCTGTAACTTTGTACTCTTCTTCGATATATGAACACCCTTTTACAGTCCCCTTCGGTAAATCGCACTGAAAAGTACACTTTTGTGAGCACTTAAAATTATCCACGCTTTCCTGGACAACTGAGGGCGATGTTGCATTTATGTCATGTGGGGAAAACAGAGTTCATTGCATACATTTTTCTATTGAAATTGCAAACCCAGATGCTACTTACTGAAAACATTTTTGAGAAAAGCATCGGTGCTCATTTATTGCTGTGAACATGAAAAACAATGAATCGGCAAAGAAGAAAAAATTGTTCAACAAATTCTACAAGAATGCATGAAGTTTTTGTGTAAAAACTAACATAACATTTAGGCTTTTTTCTGGAATGACATCACAGCTTTGTTCGTGAATATGGACATTTAATAGCACAGAAACTAAACGATGATTACTAAGTGTCTGTTTTAAAAACTGCAGTAAGTTAGTTTGGTCGGTCATTTAAAGCTGTGCTCACTTTGTTCTCACAGAAAGGATTCTCAAACTTCCGTATGCTGCATGTCGGTTTTCAATAAAATTTACTCAATACATGAATGAATTTTATTTAGTACAATTTTTCCTGAGAGTGTGTAAAATTAAAATCATTTTATTTACGATTTTTTAGTGTTAACTCATCGAAACCAGACGGGAAAACACATGGACAGCTCCGACATCATATTTACTGACAAAACCTATTACATGTCCTGGCGGAATTCTCAAAGTTTTACACACTGAACTAATTATGATTGTACCGATCCAAAGGGAAAATTTTTACTAAAGCAAGACCGCAGACAATAGGTGTAAAACCCTCATTATAAACACACACACACACAAAAACACGTTAACTTAATAGCTTTCGAGTGGGTAAATTAATAAGAAAATGATCAATTCTTTCAAGAAATGATATTCTTGCATTTTCTGTTTATTTTTGGCTTGTTTTCGCGAGGGAGGCCGAGGGCTTAGCCATCATCCCATGAAAAAAAATTATGTTGACCAGAAATGCCCAGCATACAGCATCACACTACCCTCCTGAAGCGCTGCCATTGTTCGGCCGGGCATTTTGTGCACGAACAATGCGCGATGTCCTATCCAGTCTATATCACGGAGATTAATGGTACCAAAGGACTGCCAATTTCGTTTCAAAACACGCCCTATTTTGTTCCACCTCGGAGCAGATATGCAATAAGCCACTTGCGAGTTAAATTTGAATAAAATCTGGTACACTGTGTTATCTGTTCGCACAGAAACGTAACAAGCTGAATTCCCCAGACTAAACAAACTGTTGCTATACCTCGTGTATACCCAGCAAGAAATGAGACCGAGGGGTACCCCCCCCAGCATGTCCAACCGTATACACATTCCAGACTATTGTTACTTAACACACACACCCCCAAGACGTCTGAAAGGAATTCCCCAGATTCCTGCGAGACAATGACCAACACAAAGCAGGGGGGGGTTCTCTCCGTCTCATACCTTACTGCATATGACCTCGTGATTCGGGGCAAGCGTTTTGCATAGCGACCACCATCCCTGGAATGGACTGGTTCCTTTGTGCCATTCCTAACCATTGAGAACGGTGTATTGTTGCAATGCGTCTCTTATGTAACTAAGCAAAAGCTTGCCCCGAATCACGAGGTACATATGCAGCAAGGTATTAGACGGAGAGAACCCCCCCTGCTTTGTTGGGGGGGTACCCCTCGGTCTCATTTCTTGCTGGGTATAACAAGGTATAGCAATAGTGGTTTTAGTGTGGAGAATTCAAGTTGTTATGTTCACGTGAATTTAAAGAACTCAGTGTACCAGATTTTAGTCAAATTTAACTCGCAAATGGCTTATTGCTTCTCAAGTCAAACGTCGGCGTATTTTTTACGTATCCATGCTCTGAAGACCAAACTGCAGCTCCAAACAGCGCATTACACTACATGTATCTCAAACGTGTACATGCACTTCTACGTGTACTTTAGTGCACAATACACTTTGGTTATTGTATATAAAATATATAAAAAGTAGATAAAAAAAACCTGGACTTGCAACGCCTTTGTTTGAAAAAGAAGCCAACCAGCGGCCATTCACCTAGCCAAATACAAAAGCGTGGGTTGGTTCTCTTCTATTGACGTCATGAAGAACAAAGGCGGGCATTGCCAGGAAAGCTTTGTATTTGGCTAGGTAAAAATGGCCGTGAGTGGATTCAATGACTCTATAGGCTGATTAAGGGCATTGCGAGTCCAGATTTTATTATATATGTCCGTGGTTTGGGTCCGTTCACCTGTTTACGTAGAACAGTGCATCCTTAACCATATCCAATGTATAATCATGCTTGTGGGGAGGTAATATAAGAACCAATGGATATTACCTATTTCATGTGACGCACGATACCATCCAAATATTTTGTGATCAGCGTGTGCGGTACGCCTGCAGTGTTCTATATGCAGCCGTTGTGTTGCGACCCTATGTTACCTTGCGATTGTCAGCCGTGGCAACACTTCCTGCTTCTGTGTGTAATTTCACATTTAGGGAAATTCCCGCAGCTAACAATAGCAAGCGTAAAATGCATTCACACAGCAAACAAAGGCATGTAAACTCAATCAAAAGGGTTCCTTCTGGTTGCATTAGTGGGGCCTTGATACGTGTGCGTGTATTCCAAGACCTTTGACATAGCCTATGTGAGTCACATGTATTTTCTGTGTTTCATTGTCTGCAATGCAAAGGTGTACACAACATGGAAAGGCTTTAAAACTTGCAAACGAGTCATATTGAACAGCACCCTGTGTTGCATTGACTTCACAAGTTGAGGAGAAGCACTCCATCATCGGTTGAAAAGAGCCATGTTGGTGGAGAATTTTGTTTTATTTATAGAGATATGACTGCAGTGCATGGATTTTACAGCCATTCGTGAAACAGCGAAGTGCATTTCCCACCAAAGGCGCCTCCGTTGCTAGGAAAATTGCGCCCTCTCTTAATCGGGCTTGGGGCTCTTTACCCTTGACGTCACTTAGGTGTATTGGCACTCCATTATTTTGCAAGAGTTTTAGAGGAGATATTTCGAGTCTTTTGGAAAGTATCGCCTCATCACTCCGTTTGTACCAAGTAATGGAGCTGAAGACTGAGGGTGAACAAACAACAAGAGTGACAACTTACAATGTTAATTTTATACTTTAATGCGTCAGTCCATTGAGTTCACTATGCATACAATGGTTTTTACACATGTAATTACACAAATACGCTGCAATATTTCAAAGGGGTGTCTTTACATGCAGGCCAATTAAATTAGAGAAAGATTTACTCTGTGACAGCTGAGCCCCTCTAGGGTGAAAAATTTAGCTTGGAAACAGGAAACATAATCATATGATAGTTCACATACGTGGTCTGTTTATTTGTTGTTATTTGGGTGCCTCCAAACATGTTTCTCAAGAGTGTTGGCAGTTTTGCTCTATTAAACTGGCACTTCTAATGCAAATTTATTCACGCAATTCAAGGATTTTAACCTCAAAAGAGTAAATTATTTCTGTTTTACAGCCATGTACATGTTCATTTGTATTGTCTTTTTACGCTGGAATTTAAGACGGGGTCTGCATAAAGTTCTAAACAGAAGTGACAATTTCATTTCTTCACCCAATCTTTGAAGAAATATGAACTATTTTCATTCCATCATTTTTATCATATTTTATATGTACTACCTCCAAATTACTAGAGAGTGAACTTCCTTAGCAAACACTCGCAGATGGCCATCACTATGAAACAGTTAAGATGAGGGATGCTGTAACAAATATATACTATATACATAAATTTAAAAAGTACTCTGAATATTGTATTCCTAATGTATCCATCATTATTTTCTCGAATATTTGCACAACCCATATACATCACACATAATATATATATATATAAACAACCGACAGACATTTGATGTTTTCCAACATATTTACCATGCCAATATATGCTAATTTTACTTATGTTTCAACATAGTACTAAAGTACTACTCTGAAGTAGAAACACTGCGGTGATCAGATCGTTTACTTTGACCCTCTGAATAATAGTTGCGATGAAAAGACCCGCCTGCCTGTCGAAGGTTGGCGACACCAACTTCGCTATTTTTGATGCACACATGACAGAAACGTTTTACACGAGGATAATTTGAATTTGAAAGGGGCCTTAGTGGGTAAAGATGGTATTGAGGTAAACACGTATATTAGCTGTTGTAAAATGGCAAAAACGTCTTTAAGACTACATGCACTTTAGCTGCTTCTTCTCATACAAATTGTTGAAAAATATTAAAAGAACTTGGGAAGCTTGCTTGCTGAGACGGATTTTAAGCAACCCCTTAATAACGCGTTACCTTACCATTTACCATTAGCTTACCCTTTTCCATAATCTTTACGTTCTACGTTTTAGCAAGTTAGCCTTAAATGAATTAAAGGTGCATATGCTAAGGGTTTGCGGATACACCATGAGATGTATCTCTTCAAGACGAGGTCAGGTTCTGAAGAGAACAGGTGAGTGTCAACTCGACCCTGGTTGAAACATCGATTTGACACTCGCCGGTTCTCTTCAGAACCTTATACCTCTTGGAGAGATGGATCCCATGGTGTACCCGCAAATCCTTACCATATTTACTATTTTCACGGTGCAAAGTTTCAATTCGAATTACATGTGTAAAACTTTGGTCTGAGGGATACATTAGGGATGGACAAAGAGGGCGCTACACAGACAAACCTTGTTTCTCTTACGGTTTCGATTTCCTCAAGTACAACTTGGGACCTACTCATCGTCATTTTCACTTTGCGCTTCACTGTTAACAGGCTATATTGCTGTCTTTTGAAATGGACACCTTTTGATGAGTAGCCTCGGGAAAGTAGGTTAATGCGTGAATTATTAACATGGGTGCGCATGTGTAATGCCGTTAGAATTTCGCTCTATGGTCGAATCTCCTCAAACCCACAGTGCATGCAAACTGCAAGACTTAGCCACTGAAAGCAGCTTATTTATGAAATGCATGTTGCAACTGCCATTATTCCAAGGGTAATGTGATTATGTTTGCAATTTTCCTTAACAATGCAGTTCCTGGTAAAAGGCCTACATCAATAGCTACTACATCTATGGCTTAAAAAACAGGCGCCTGTATATCGCTGTATTCTCATGATATAGGCTAGTTGGTATGATTTAGAAAATATAATTACATGGTACATAACGAGAACTGCTACTATATACTTCATGTTAGAAGCCAATTCGGTTCCAAATCAGCCACGTGCTCACCTTGAGGCAAGATTTGTTCACGCAACATCATTGGGTATACAACTTTAATAGTGTAAAATCCCTGTACAGCATTTACTTTTCTTTTCAAAAATACTTTTTCTAGATAAATACCGGTATGTTTTCAGTCAGATCTTTCCTCCTACTGCATAATATTTCACATCTACAAATCGCAAATCTTAAAAATTCTGAGAGAAAAATTGACGGCATTGGAAATATTGTGACGTTACTTTAAAGCAAAAAATCTTTGCTTCACAATCAATTAAGGCAAGCCAATTAATTCCAATCACAGAAAAGCACTGCTTCTGCTGAAACGATGGTCAAATATGAAATCAAATGCACCTGCATATTTATCAATAATTTCAGTATTAACGTAACAGGTTAAAGCCATTTCTCTAGTCTCATGTGTGTTTGTGTCGTTGTTTGTTGCTTCTTGATATTGCCTCCTTTGTTCTTGATGGTGTTGTTATTCAGCGCACTCAGACTGATTGTGTGACACCACTTTCACCCTCATCCCCAAAGGTATGGTATGACCTCGCCGCTCAGTTTTCCCATCATGCTTTGCACAGTAAGTACACAGGAGCGCAACTTGTCAGAGAGTGTTAGTTACTGTTGTTCTTACAGCAATTTCAAGTTCAAAGTTGCCACAGCAGTATACCAGTTAAAAGCCGAAAGCAGAATAAAATAGTTTCATGGTGGTATACCAACAAGAGAACCTCCTTTCGTCAATTTGCCCTTGTTCCTTCATCTCATTCTTTGGTTCCGTCTCCCTCGGTACTGTCGAAAATCGTGTTTTTTCACATTTGGTTCATATTCAGCAAAAAAAAATAACCTTTTGTTTCTGACGACGGAAGTATGAATGTCAAAGACAAGGAAACAAAGCCCCTCATGAAAAAGAAGCAGTCCCTTTAATTCAACAGAAACTCGTGGATTGACTGGTTTCGTAGCAAGAAATGTTCCAAATAAAGTTTGACATCAAAGGGGATCTGTGAATGTAAAGTAGAGAGCCCAAGCAGCGACAAGCTTCTTTCCCGTGAAAATATCGCTCCTCATCTCGGTACACTTTAATGTACGGAAATTTCGATCACAGCGCAGTTCCACGGCACCGGCCTTCCGTCGCGAGGAAAAGGCTGGACTAACACGACATGACTTACAGAGTAGTCTCGGAGTCGTCTGACTCGGCCAGATTCATCTGCATGACCTTGGATGTGATGTCACGATCAGGGGGTTTCGTTGTGACTGACTGAAGTCCATTACCCGCTGGTGTGTTCCTCCTAGTGTCCTTAGGCACCGGATCGAGATACCCTGCGCTCGCAATCTGTTTGAGCAGGGAGGAACTCTCCCGGCTTCCTGAATCGTCTTCGCTGGCGTCGTTCGCGATGCAATGTTCCACTATTCGTGGGCTTATTTTCCCCCGGCCTGGTCGCTGGTTCTCCCTCTGTTGGCTCTTGTACGGGGGTGAGCAAACGGACGGCTCCTGGCGTTCGCCATTGTGTTCTTCGGGAACCGGTGGCAGGCCATCCACAACGTAAACATGCTCATTTAATTTCTTGCCGCTGCCCACCTTGCCTGCCAGCCCAGAAGATGACACGTCCCATTGATTCTGACTGGCCTCTACGGGCGGCTGACCCTGGAGCAAATTATTGCCCATCGTCACGACCAGCTGCAGTTCAATATTCATTTTGGGGCTGTTGTCTGGGCTGTCTTTCTCGTAGGACACCATGGACGGGCGTGCTTCACTGGTGATCTGGGTCATGACGGAAGCAGAGGAATCGCGATGGGAGCCCTTCAGGCCGACATCTCGCATGGTGGTGGAGTTGACCTGGGACATGGAGCGTGGGCTGCTAGTGCACGTAGGGCGGTACTTCATGGCCCGCTTCTCGCACATGCCATGCTTGGCCAAGAGAAGGAACATGTCGCGTCGGAAAGCCCTGGTGAAGATGGCATACAGGAACGGGTTGGCGCAGGAATTGATAGGATAAAACAGGACAATGAAGACTTTACTTTGGTCAGTGGTGAGAAAACCGTACTTCTCATTCCGGAATATCGACGAGAGGCCATTGATGGCAATTGGTGCCCAGCAGGCCAGATCTGTAAAGATAAGTACAGCCATCCGTTTCGCCACTTTGGAGTCCTTCCTCTGCATGGCCGAATGCGGGTTTCTCACTGTAATGTACATCTTAATGTAGCAAGCGCAAATGATAACGAAGGCAAGGGCGTTAAACAGTAAGATGAAAATGACATAGGCCACAGCTGCCGCGCCATCAGTGCTGCGAACGTAAAACGGAAGGCACATGCTGGTTACACCGTAACTAGCGAAGCCCATGAACGGTAATGAGGCCATGACCATGGCAAATAACCATCCGCCAAGCAAGATGCGACTGGCCTGTCTCAGACGTATGCGTTTGTTCAGATCAATAGCATAAATGATGGTGTACCAACGCTCAATGGTCAGTACTGTTAGCGTAAAAACAGACAGCTCGCTGGAGAATACCGATATGAAACCCGCAATCTTGCAGCCGGCTCCAAACTGCCATTCGATGGCGTAGTTGAAGTACACTCCCAGAGTATGCACATCAATAGACGCAACCATTAGAAGATAGACGCCCATGCAGAAGTCAGCGAATGCCAGATTGCACATCAAGAATTTGGGAACCGTCATCTTATGCTTGTAAGCTATCAACACCACCATAACTACTAAATTACCCACCATGGCTGTGCCAGCAATGAACCAGACCACGACCCGTAAGAAGGAGTATCCCATGACATCAGAGCACGGGTTGAAAGCGTCGGGCTGCGGCGAGCATTTCACCTTGGAATAGTTCTTGGGTACAAATGAACTACAAGTATCACCATGTGTGACGTGGGTGGTGTTGGGATTGATAATCTCATTTATGAAGCCACCGTTGCTCTCGATGGTTTCTTCGAAGCTGGGCTGCATGTTGGAAGGCGCATTAGTCATCAGCGCCTCTGGCGGAGGCTGGAGGAAGGAGTTGCCCGTAAAATTGATAGAGCCTGGTCTGAACAGTGAACCCTTGGAGTCTTGCTGGTAGTCGTCCTCTACCAGGTGAGCCCAGCTACCTCGCGGCACGGAGAAATCCCTGGTGTCGAAAGTGCCAGAGCTCGGGTTGGGTGTTGTCGAACACGAGGAGCTCTCGGCCGGCTCTGTAATGTTGTACATTTTAGCCATGTGCTGGTTCTCTGAGGTGTTGAAGAGGAACGCACAGCAGTGACTGAAATAGTGAAGCCTGACTCTCTGAATGTTCTGGAATTTGAAGAGCGGTGGGAAATGCTTGAGGTTTGGTGTTCCCTCTATGTTCAGTTCCACGATATACTTCAGTCCCAAAGTTGGCAGTTTAGTGATTTCTGTCTCTGCCAGACTCCTGTAGAAGTAATTAGTATACAGAGGTAAAACTGCAATTGAAAAACCACAAGACGAGTTACAACCAAGGCACGGGTACATTGTAACCTGCAATTAAAGCTACTGAGAATTTCTTAGAAGGCATCGGACAACATAGCTACCAACAGTGTGCACAAGACTATAATTATTTACTGCCTGCTGGTTGTCACAGAGAGGAAGACACATGTACTTGCGATTGAGATAGATTTTACTTACACATTTGTAAGTTCCACTATGCCCTCGAAGACATTGTCTTCTATGTAGGTGATGGGGTTTCCGGATAAGTCTCTGAAATACAGAAATTACACATAGGTGAGACGAGGTAACATATATGCCTTACGTTTTTGTGTACTGTCGGGCTCAAAAGTCTACACTTGATCCCAAGGATTTGCGGCACTTACAGAAACCTTTTGTCGCCTTGTGAGTGAGCACCGAGCGCACGGCCCCGTTACAACTACTGTTTTTGGCGCTCATTAAGTAAACCATAAAGGTTCTAAAACTCCGTTCCAAGGTGTAAGATGTATTTTAGCTTTTTTTAACAGCACTATGTTGTATGACTTTGTAGACAGATCTCGCAGGCGTAAACGAGTCCAAGTCTATGACAAAAAAGACTCTTTGAAATAGTTGTTCGCGGTACCTGCTGCTAAATCTGATTCGAACCAGCCAGCCTACACCGGCAAGCTCAGTGGTCGAGTGGTTAAGACGTCTGCACAAGTAAGCAGGAGGTCGTGGGTTTGAGTCCCACCCGAGTATGCTCGAGGTTTTTTCATAAGCCCTCGGGGCATACACTGAGTAAACAGTGTTAAAATACACGTCAGGCAGGGCAAAAAATAAAAAAGGTTCATTAATGTGACTTACAACTTGTAAATCTTTGCGCCTTCAAAAGCTTTGCCGTACACAGACGAAATAACATTATGGGAGAGGCCGCTGTAACAATAAAATTCAAAAGACATGAAAGTAGCAATTAGCATTTAACATACACATAATGAGTGCCGTGCAAACCTTTAAGACAAATACAAATTGCGCCTACAATGCTTAACTTCCGCTAAAAAGGGATATTTAGTTGAGCCCCCAAACTGCTACACGATTCATTTAAATACATTTAGGTTGATACAGCGAAAGGGATAGGAGTATAATGTAGGGGGTCTTACTGGAACACTTCGACCTTTTCTAAAGAAATACGAAAAGGTCCCATAAATGCAAAGTATGTAGTGAATGTGGACTAAATTGGGGTTAAAAATTCTGGTACAGTTTGACCTTCATGAGGATGGGAACGAGTATGGAATAGGCGTGGGTAAAATTGCCCGTACAGTTTGGCCTTTTATATAGGAAAAATTATACATACAGTGTATGGACAATACTAGATTATAGTTTGACCCGAGTGATAAATATGCAAGATGGTTCATGGTATAGCGTGGGAAGTAATAGATGTGAGGTAGATGATCGCTAGGACAATGGACATGAGAGAGAGCGGGCATGGCCCAGCGGTTTTGAGGTCCGTGTACTATGAACCATTGAGTGACGTAGGTCGTCCGATAGTTTTGATGCACCAAGAAGTGTCGTACCGTCCTCAGACTTAGTATGCACGATACGGCAATTCGTGGTGCAATATAATCCTCCTATAATCATGATACAACCGACGCATTGTTCGGAGGTTAATCCGATCGATACAAAAAAGTAACTGGATTTCTTAAGGTAGTGCAAACCTTGTAAACTTATAGTGTGCAAATTTCTGTAAAGCAGTAATGCAGTGGTAACTACATTTATCCTAGTATTTCTTCAAAGGTTGAAATTAAAACTGAAACGACTGTAGAAAATCGTTAAGTGAATGTAAAACGTGGATATCTATATAAGTTATCCAACTTACAAGGAACTCATCCCCATGAATATGGGTAATTAAGTTATGCTCGTTAAGCTAATTTATATATAACTTATATCCTTGTATATAAACACTCACAGATAGTAGACTTCAAATGGCAATCCAGTGAAAGTGTGGGGTTTCAGGGCAAAAATCTGGTTATGTGACAAAACCCTGCAAAAGAAAAACAGTTTGGGACATTACTTTCACTGTGTGCAGAAAGCAGGAACGTTAACAGCATTAGGACCACAGAGACAGTTGTCCACGTTTAAGCTATGAATCGAAAGCGAATTATCCCTTTTTGTTACCAGAAGTGGAGAACACGCTGTTGTAGATATGTCAATTTTTGTAATATTTATTTCAGCGAGATTTCCTCTTTCTCAGTCGCAATTCCATCCTTCGATGAAGCGGCATTTTATATTCTGGTTATACAATGACCACGGATATACTTGTTTTAGTTGTTAGGTGTAGTAAACGTACTTCCACATGACACTACTGGGGTCCAATATACAGTCCCGCCCCCCTCCCCTCCTGGAAATCCCACAGAACGTACTTGGAAATAGGATCAAACGATAGAAAGATCAGTTTAGCTTTTTCTATTATAAGTTGTAAGCCGGAAATAGGCCTTGGTAGATCACAGGCTTTGATTTGGATAGACAATTAACCTAAATGTAAATTGTATTCCTATAAAATGCTGATTGACATGCAAGGGTTTACGTGTTTTCGCTTTGGTTCGGCTTAACCCATAAGTCTGGTAGGCCTAAATGATTTTAATTTCAGGGTCGAACATAACGAAGAAAAGTATTTTGAGAGTTATTAAACCTGAATAGAAAAACATAAACAATAAAAATGTTAAATTTAAAGGGGAGAAATATAATGAATTTTATGAGAACATGTACAAATTTTCTTTACATGTTACATTATTTAAGAAGCATTCGGAATAATATGTTTATACGTAAAGTTGCCATTATTACTGATTTAATTAGTTAAGGAGGTATTTCCTGAAATATCTTGACAAGATAATGACAGAAAGAACGTGCAATATTTTCTTGCTAACTGGTAAGTCCGGTTGCAATGTTTATAGAATGTCGTAACTTTAGCCACCCATAAATTATTGTAAGCGCTCATCTTTCCGCGTACACTCTAACAGATCTGACAGGAAGTCTCCGTGTACATGTCCATGCCAACAGTGCCCCTGTACCCATAAATACCCGCCACGAGATTTCTTTGCTACATTTGCGAGAGCGCAGATCGTCGACGGACTCGAATATGTGGATTGCAACACCCAAAACCAATTCTTACCTCTCTACACGAGGTTAACACGAATGTCTAAAATAGCTGAATTCCAGTGCTCACTCTAGCGAGACAGTCTGTCAGACTAATGGTGAAAATCCTGTCATTTTAAACAGCCTGTAAGTTTTTTGCTCTGTGAATGGTGTTATAAGACAATATTTGGCCATCAATCTAGCAAAAGGTTGAATTTACTTAATTAAAGCTACTGTCAATTTCAAAAATACTTGGCACGTGAAACGACGCTGGCAAATGTACAGATCAGGCTTCTGCAAAACAAAACGCGAATTTCTTTCGTCCTCGGCCGCCTGTGACGTTCCCTCGATTTATTCGCCAGCTAAAATTGTGGATAACGTCAGAGGTTCCAACAGTCCCTGGAGCAAAAACGTGAGTCTCTTTTTATGCATGAGTGGCATTTTCGTTTCTGTCGTATGGCATTTTTCTGAGATTTGGGCATTGAAAGATTTACATGTCACGGCATAGATCGGAGCTTGTGAACAGATTGTCGTTTCGTAAAGTGTGCTCCACGAAATGGTAATTCCAGGTCGTGTTCCCTGACCCCGATTTATACACTGTTAGAGCTAGATTACGTTTGAACGGCCCTTGGGCACCACTGTTCCTCCGAACGTCCTGCATCGCTTAGAATACTAATCTTCTTGCGCGCTTGCAAGCACTGGAGCCTCGCTTTTCATGTTTACGATAACTGTACCAGGCAAGGCAATGGCTGTGAAAGCACGTCGACACTGTGTGCTTCAGAGAGATAACCTTCACTTGTAAAATCTATTTTGATCTATGTACATGTACAGATATATCAAGCAGATTTCTGTTTTCTACTTTTTAGGCAATTATACTTCTTGTAAGTCCTTTAATTTTACTTGTGCTCTTAACATAGTGTAACGAGCTCATTGTGTAATGTAGCCTGTAAACAGCACACTCTGGAAATTGAAGATGTGGAACTATTTAGTTACAATTACAGAGTTTTATTCCCTTTTTCTTTTCTTTTTCAATACAAAACATTTTTTGCGTGAATTTGATCTCACATCTATTGGAACACATTGGAAATTTTGGTGTCATCATCCATCTTCAACATCATCCATCTTCCTTCTCAAAACCTGTCGCAAGGATCATCATCCCTTCAAGATGACCTACTCGTGTGTAAGGCGCATCTGGTAGCTTAAAATCACTCAGAAAAAATGGTGAGTGTTTTTACTAGGGTGTTAAATGAAAGCGTATGTGGGAAAAAGAGACTCACAAATCTTTGAGAGTTCCGTCATTCGTGTAAAGAGTCGTCAAGTTTGGCGCACTCTCAAGTCCACAACTCTCCAGGGACCTGTGAGGGGAGGAAGTGTACCAGATTTTCTTTAGAATATTATCAATTTCACACAACTGCATCCAACTGTTTTATAGACCTATACATTTACGTATTCATCCTTAGGCAACACGACTTCACGTTTTGTAAGATACTATAACAAGTTAACTCGCGGGTCAGATTGACCAGGAATGGGGCTCCCAAGGGGTCTGAATCTTTTCCAAGTCAAAATGACCCAGAAAAGGTCAAAATGATCCAGAGGATGATTATTTTTACCCAAAAGGGTTAGGCGCCACGGAGCCGGTATTCCGGTTCAATCTGACCAGGATGTTTCTGAAGTGTATTGTTTTAGTAACCTGTTATAGTGAGTCGAGGTGGGTTTTCTTTGGATTGTCCGGTGCGGCAAGCGAGTGACGCTTTACCTCAAACGTCAGATACATAACATCACGAGTGAAGTAACCATCCCGGTTACTACCGGTAACCCTCCCAGGTGACATGGTAACTTAGCAATTAAGCAGTGGCATCTTTAAGCCGGAGTGCATAGCACTAATTAGCAGCAAACTGGCAAACCTCGAGCAATGGAAGGGGTCGATTTCGAGGTATTTTCCCGCAGATCAGTGACTTTCATCCCCTCCCTGCCTTTTAAAATTCTTTTTCTTTCTCTTTCCTTGCCCCTCTATTTTCCTTTTTTTTTTTTTTTTTTGGTAGGCAAGCACCGCCCCCACCCTTCCCGGTTCGAAATTGTTAAATTGTACTCTTGTGGTCTAAGCCAGTTGTATTGAGCGTGTCCATGTCACACTGGGTGGGGCTTGTAAGATACGCTGATTAATACTCACAAACTATTCAAGCGTGGTAAATTTCCGAATACCCCTGGGCCGATTTCTTTCAGCAGCGGTGAATGAGTAAGAATACTGAAAAGCCAAAGTTTGAGGATTCGGTGTTAATTAATAATTAATGGTACATGTACCACCACGCATTAAACTCCACAAAAGGTTGTGTACTTTCATCTTTTTTCAAACAATGCAAACAGGGTGTGGACACGTGGAATAAAAACGACTTCAACCTATATAACATGGTTAGGAAGGTAACACTGGCTTGTTGCATAATTGCCTGACAAAGTATTGGAGCAATTCAATTCTGAAACCTTACATCCTTCATCGATTGTCCATAGATTCAACGTCTGGATATCCCTCTACAAGCCCGTTTTGCAATTCAAGAAGCGATTTAAACAGATTAAATTTCGATTCAATGAAACCATTATTGTGACTTAATGGAGACAATCTCAGTAAAATGTAAACTGATATCCATTTATTTATGTCAGTGTCACAATTTAGCATGTAGTTACGTTTCGATGGAGAGTTGTAAACACAAATTATCTTGCGGAATGATTTTATGTCTCATATCAACATACAAAAATACATGCAGTGTACATAATTATCTTTCGGTGGGACATTTTCCATGCAACGAGGGAACAAACATTAAGACTTCCAACTGAATTTGGCCTTTTAAAAAGCACATTAGGTACGGTCAGGGGCCATCAAAAGAAACAGTTTGTCTTGTTTGCCATGTTATAACTACCAGGTTTCAGCGCATGAGGTGCTAACTCCTGGAACAGCTTCATAATAAGAGGCGCAAAAGGACTCTGTCATATCATGGGCCAGTAACAGTGCAAAAATCAATAACTGCAAACAAATGTGAAACCTGCAACCTTAACGCAACAGAATAGGCAAATAATCGACATCTGTGTGGCGACTTCAGACAGATGTTTCTCTACTTACATTCCTGTTAGTTCCTCTAGATTGTGGAACGTCCCGGGCTCAATCGTTCTCAGCTTGTGGTTTTGTTTTAAAGTTCTTCAACAGAAAGGGAGAGAATCATTTTGTTAGCATGATGTTGCGGTTTTTCATCCCTTCTGCGTTTGATTGTTCTTACGAACTCTTTAAAAATCCCAACAAAAAGTATTTCAGTGTGTTAAAGTGGATATCCCCGTTCTTGGCTTGAGATTTCTCTCGCTCATGTCAAATTTCATACTTCATTGCAAGCTCAAAATTAAGCCTTTGAATCCAATTACAGTCATTGCTGGGTTGACATTACGAGGTATCACTGCTAACAATAATGTTGGTCTTTTGGGCCAGCTTTTGCCCTGAAGTGCTGTAAGTATAAACTTGCCTACTCCTGATCACAAGATGTCCAAATTTTGTGTACATTTTCTAAAATTACCAACTCGTGTACTAAAAACAACCAACATCTGGACAAATTAACTTTAACCAACGTTTTATTACCGTTTATGATGCCGTAAGAGCATTTTTCACTTTCAGATATCTTAAGTGAATTCATGTAGTACGTAATACACGACACGCTTTTCTAATGAGCTTTTTAAAGTGGCGTTCTATACTTGTCCCCGCCAACTGGAGTTTCTGCTGCTGTGACATAACCTAAAGCAGTCACACTACCAATTCAGGGATTTTTGAGCAGAAATTGTGTGCTTCATCCTAACAGTTTGTCCATAATGGCTGCTGACTGCATGTATATAGTATGCATGCGCTACGCAAGGAAGAACGCACGTGGCACATAAAATGGGTGGTACATTTTTTCAACAACTTTTGGCTTAAGCACTTTAACACGAGGCCGGAGGCTTTCGCGAGGTGATATCACGCTTTTAATCATGAACGTGGGACTGTAAATTTACAAAGGTCCTCCAAGATCCACAGAAATAGCTATACGAAGCCTGAAGTTAAAGTAGGTCTGTAAAGAACACGCAACGATTCACGGCCCCTACAATTGAGAAACCGGCGATTTCACAAAGTGTGTGTGGCGATGTCAATAACCAGGTAAATAATCTGCTATAGCGGCTCAAATAACGCTTGAGCAGACATTCTTCAGACAGGCTGCAGATACTCACACCTCAGGGTTACTTTACCTCAGAAGCCGTTTAGAGTTTCAAGCCAGACGTCTAAAAAGGTCTATATTGAGCATTTTAGATGACCATGCAAGTTGTTGCTTTTTAAAAAGGCTAAGTGTTGTTGTCGAGTACCTTTCCTACCGACCCCGAAAACTAATGAAGCACAGCGCGTGTTCAAGTACAGGCATCACTTAGACATTTCATTCCAGCAACACCTTTGCTTCATTCAATTCCATCACCTTAAACAAAACAACGCACTCCGAGACATAAAACTTGTTGATTGTTTGATGTGTGAACATACATAAACATATCGGCATAAACAGTGACTGTTTCACGGAATTTTCGCTAGTTGAGGTGCAAATAAATCCATAATTGTCCTTGAGAGCCGTAGATTGTTTCTGTTTTTAAACGAATCAAGCATGTTATTTCATTAATCCGCTGTCTACGCACAGGCGCCCAGCGGAATCGGGAGGGCAAGAACTACGAAAGCACGCATGGTGGTGCTTGTTCCACAGCAGAGAGCAACGTCTTGTCCTGTGATGTAATTATAATGATTTACGACTGTTTGCTGAGTGACCTTCTATCACCAACTACATATTATTTCTGTATGACTGGAGTCGACGAAAGAGGGCCGTGGTGAGTTTCCACAAGACCTGTTGTCACAAAAGCCTGAAAGTGTAAAGAAACGTGAATGTTCCCTAGTAATATTCGTTGGAAAGTCAAAAAGGCAGAAAATAATTGATGTCAGTACCTTCAAGTTTTGATTATTTCCTTGTTCGGCCTTTACTAATTTCCTAAAACGTCACGTATTGTTTGCAATTAAGATCCCAATGGCTCTATTTGCTTTCTAATAAAATAGTTTCACCAGAAAGTGATAGAACATCACAAGTCCCAATGAAACAAAAAATCCGAAATCTGCCAAGTAATTTGGCAGCTTGTTCACATGAACAACGCGCCATAAACGAAATAATAAACAAATTTTACGCCACAGACAAGGCAAGATAAGCATTCCATCATGCCAGCAGGAACTGCATTCAACCTATACGCTCGCTTGGGGCGCGTACGAATAGGACTACCTATTACCATTCGGGTCCTTTTGTTTCATCTTAATTAAATTTCGGTCATTTATCTTCATTATTTGATGAGTCGTTAGCCGGTCTCATCTTCTCTGACCCAGACCGCCCTTCCTCCGGATCTGGATAGCCTCGATCCACTTCGGGGACAGCGTGCGATCCATTATCGCAAAAGAAGTGCCTGTCTGCTGTCAGGAGAGAGACTTCTGCGGAAAGGAAATCGTTCTTCGCTCCATTTCGGGTACAGTAGACCGTTCTGCGGTTCACTTACATGGTGTTGAGCACTGTGAAATTGGCGAAGTTGTCCGGGGTCAGCTTCTCCACGTTTGTGTCGGTAAGAGATCTGCAATGAAAAAGATTGGAGATAGACAAATATGGATACGCAGTTGCCTCCGCCCCCCCCCCAAAGGGAAGAATGCACTTTGAAGTCGAACATAAAATATCAATAGGCAGCAATTGCAGTTTCATATTATTAACAGGGGGCACCTTTAGCTTGATTCATTTATTTCCTTTTGATATCAGCAACCCAGAGTTGTATCCACTACTGAATGCAAACTTTCAATTGAATTTAACTTTTTTCAGAAGTTTTTCAGAAAAAAAGTACACACCACTTGTTAGAGTGCATGGTGGTGTCAACATGTTACAGGTCATTGATTTCGCAAAAGGGGAATCCAGAACCAAATTTTTCGAGGGAGAAGCAAACGTTTTGGGGGGACAATGCAACATTTGGACTTTTGGAAGTAATCTTTTCTAGCCTTTCTTAGGGGGTAAGGTTGTATTACCGGTATGGGACTATTTACGCGCTCTGAAAAGGAAGAAAATAAAATATACCAAACAAATTTCCCCGTTACTAAAAACAAAGCACTTGGGGGCATGGTCTCTGTTCCCCCCCCCCCGACGACTTAGGTCAATGACTACATTTATGGTTAACGGTCGCACAAACCAGACAAAAACACGACGATAGACAGATAATTCCCTGCAGTGCATATTCTGGGTGAGAAGAATATTTTAAGGGTTTTGTCCCTGTCTATTAATCTTATGGACAGCAATGTTCAGTTTTATGGCCTAAATCGACAATTATCACTGCCGACCTGGATAGAGGTAGACACAATATAATTACTCACAGCAAGCATACAAATGGAAAGGCATGTACATGTAGGTCGAAAAGCCCACAGTGGTGGCATAAACGCCGCGCATTACTCCAGGGACGATGACTGCCTGAATTTGGCAGATGCGATTCGCCGAGCACTACTCACCGCGACCCAGCGGTCGTCAACCGAATCAAGCTAACGCAGCGATAACGTCGCTCTGGTGGACACCGACGTGGATAAGGGGAAGGGGGAAAATTCGCGATAAATTAGCCATGAAGAGGAAGGCGACGTTATGGGAGAGTAGAGGGGTAAAGAAGGGGAGAGAGAGAGACGACGTGGACGAGAGGTAACTGAACTGTGAGGCACAGAGATAAGAATGAACGGGTAGGCCTCAAAAGAGTACAGGTGGAACAGTTAGACGCCTTTGGGGAAATGCGTCGACGAAGCCAAGCAGATAACGAAGATCTCTAATCGACGTAGGTGCAAGTACTATCTCAATAAATATGCGGATTATCATTTGAGGGAAAAACTCCCGGCAAATAAGTCTTGAAGAGTGCAGTGAATTCCATGGTTTCAAAAGCATTTTCCTTCATTCATTCCTTCCTTTATGGTGCATACTGCGATTTCCTTTTGACAAACATACAACAAAAAGGTAACAGATGTATCTCCCATTGGATAGTTTCCTTGCTGACAATACATGTAAATATATTTATTTTAATGCTTGTTTTCTGACAGGCTGTACAAACATGTTCATTTTTAAATTTGCTTTAATTATTGACAAATTTAGACATGCTAGCCTACCGAGGATATGGATACATGCCAGCATGGAATAATGAAATTTCAAATCGACACCAATTTGAGACTATCCACAAAGAGATCACATGAATTTGCAAGACAACCTGGGAAGAGAAAGAAGAAAATAACACAAACAAAAATGAAGTAAAGCAAGCTCACAAGGTTGTTTATTTAGGTTACACTGATACAAGAGCGAATAAAGAACCAGATATTCGACGGAAACTCTCGGGGGTACAAATTTCAATTTGAATTTTGTTACCTTTTATGACCTTTCTGAAGGATGAGGCTACATTTGGGGCTTTTTAAACGCTTTTATTAAAGAAAGGGGAATGAAGTGGAGGAAGAAATCGTTTTCTCTCCTTAAATGTTGGCTCCTTTTTGGCCCTCCGTTGATTTCCCTTGACAGCATGATTTAGTTTCACTCAAAGGACCCATGGAACATATGTTGAGTTATCACTCGTAAAACTTAAAGTTCAGCCAACGAGTCCGTGGTCGCAACTTGGAACGCGACGTGGACTGGTGTAAAGATCTGTATAAACGGTTCTCTTTTGTCACTTCCATCGTGAATCTGTAAGACTTGAGATGCCACATGCTTCTCCTTAATTCTCTTCTTTTGTTTCTCTTGTTTTCATCTACAACCCTAAGTAGTAAGTAGCAAGCTGTCTGTCGGTTTGACTATTGGAGCTGAAAGGAGGGTGATCAATGATCTCTCGTGTTGTTTTAAGACTGGCTCCGTGGCATCTCTCGCGATAGGAAGACTGAGAGAGGATGCACTCAAGAACCTCCGCACTTGTGATGTGAATAAAGCAAGACATATCTGATCACTCCTACGCTCTCATCAGCCACAAGGCCACTTCAATTTGGGAAACACACGGACCTGTATTAGGGACTTAGTAAAACAAATCTCCACATCAGTGTCACTTATTTTAACTCGTATACTTGCAAATGAAGCGGGCATACGACTTACAAGGCGTCCGTACGGATTGTAAGACTGTGTACGGCTTACAACATTGCGTACGCCTTGCGATTTGAATCCCGCATGTACAAGTTGTGTCTTGCGCACAGGTTATAATGCATTTCATGTACAGTACATGTACATATACACGTACACAAATCTCGTAACCATCGACGCCATAGGCTAGCTGTCTTTTCGTCTCATAAACGTGTTGTCAGTGCGCCTCGTGTCGGTATGCGTCTGTCGTGTATGATGTTCAATGAAATTGTACAAGAGTGAAGAGCAGGAACGAATGCGGACACCAAACCTTACCAAAACCGTTATATGAAAAGGTGGCCGTTTTGACGCCTTCATAATATACCTGCGCTGTACAAGCCTAACCCGTAAGTAGGCCTACGATTAAGAAGAAATGAGTAAAAATGTTTATTCACAGTGGTTTCTGATTAAGAAAAAGCAAGCATAACCTACAAGTGCACAATCTTTTTCAAATGAGCCCTGCGATCCAGTGCCAGTGCAAAGGCAGTATATAACGGTTGCTGCACGTAGCCCATACTGATGCGTTCACTATACCCCTCGTTTAAAGCTCTTTATCTCTTGAGTTACTGGTACCCGACTGTATGATTCAAAATAATGCTGAAGTTCTGGCAACAATGTTTCTCGAAATATATACATTAACTACTTCATTTAGTTCGTGATAAGGTAGCTAGCTAAATAAATGGAAATGCTACTCCAGCTTTATATAGGCAGAATAAATATGAAATCGTGGCATTTGCAGGTTGATTACATTTGTCAAAAAGCTAAACTGTGGAGGAAATCAAGCATATTTCATCTTTAATTTAGCACAGCTTGCTTCAAGTTCCCGATGAAAATGGTCATTTAACAGTCGAGATTATTCATTGTTTAACTGTCCACATGAATACGTCAAGAGCCTCAAACCCGCCCTGTGTTTATCGCATCACTGGCAGAAGTGAATTTCTGAGCACGTACAAATGTCAGTTCGCATCCACCGTGTTCGGCTCGAAACCCAGGGGCTACACACCCTGACTCCAGGATGGGGAACGTGCAACCGGGTACTCATCTCCAATTTACACCCTCGCACGGACGCCGCCGGCATCTGTCATGTCCTGGGAGGCGAAGCTGTCACAACATAAAAAGTACAAAAGTGGCCAGGTGGTGTCAAATGTTGTCCAAAGGGTGCAATAATGGTCGACCGAGGCTTAATTATTTCTTTGAAGTGTGCTGGTGGCACCTTCAAAAACACTGCCATTGCCTCGTCGAGTAACGTATTGTGTTTGAGTCGACCCAATAATGAGGTAATATATACGACTATTTCAAAGGACGGAGTATATCAGGCGGAAATGGGAAGGCACCAGAGGAATTTTCAGGAATATTACGGCAAAAACAAAAGGGCAGGGAAGCAGACTCGCGAGTCAAATAGTTGCTTGGTCAGTAGGTGAGGTACATGAACTATAGTTCGACCATTGGTAAGTTGCTTCAGACCACTGTGCACGGGCGGCGCACAATCACTCCAACAACTTCGATCGATTTTGCAAAGTCCCACCGTTACTTCCATTTTGCAGTTACATTTTCTGGTTGCAATCATGATATGAGTCTGGTGCAATTAATTTCATGTTACTGGTTTCCTCTATACTTGATTACAAAAAACAGGCTATTGATAACCAGTAATAGGATAGTGCCCGGGACCTAGTCGGAAGTGGTCTACTAGACAGTTAACCCTCCACCATTCTGATGACGTTGTTGAACTAGTCTTTGCTCGAACGTGCCCGAAGATTGTTTGGGTTCCACACACAAGCACCCCCTCGGCAACCAACAACAGTGAGGATGGGACGATCGCCTGGTTTTCGCCTTCATTATCAGGCGGACATGAAACAAAAACGGAGGGTCTGGAAATAGTCTCCTTGCCTGCAAGAACTTATAAACGAGGAATAGCTAGGTTGGCCAATTGGTGTCGATCCCACTGGGAAATATATAACATGAACTGACATCCATTTGCATATGTAGCCGATGGGCATAATTAAATAATTAATGTTGCTTGTTTCTTGTTAACATGGCATGTTCATAGTATATTTGATAACTTAAATCACCCATACTATGGACAAGTAACTATACTGACTCTTGCAGCTAACCATTTACACAAGAACCGGTATAAAACGATTCAGCAATCGCGCACAAGATCTTCCTTCTTTTAATTTGGGTATTCTTTCAACTGACATTAAATCTTTTTAAAACTTATTTCACATAGAAGTTTTCAGAGGAAAATTGGTAAGAATCATTGACAAATTCGAAAAAAACTTTACAAAACGTGTAGCCCGAGGAATTGAAAGAAAAGGAGCAAGGTAGTTGACAGCGAATAAATGATCCATAATCATCATTTATCAACTTTGTTTTAAGGGGGTATCTTGCCTTTCTTGGTAGTCCCAACATGATTCTGGAGTATATTTTTAATACTTCATTATACGTTCCGTTAACAAATTTTATCTT